CCCTACACACACACACACACACACACACACGCACACACACACTCTGGACTGTACTCTAGATCTTGTGCCCATAAATATTTTTAAAAAAGAATAAAACCCTCACAGCCCTCCCCAAATACTAGCAAATATTTCACAAATATTTCACACTTGAAGATTTATTTAAGATATAATTTCATCCAGGTAATTCTGAGATGTGTCATAGAGACTAGACATCAACATGTAGATCTCATTTCATATATTGATACTTTCTCTTATTTTTTTTTATGACATCTGCTGAAAAAACAGTAATTAGAAAATTTGAGTTCCTTTACTAGCCATTACTACTGTTACTAGTGAACAAATCACAACATTCTGTGCCTCAGATACCTCATCTGAACATTAGGAATAGACGACTACTCTCTTCCTTAAATTATTTTCTTCCCTCAATTGAGATAATAAAACAGAGTAGTCATAATGTAGACTGGAAAATAAAATCATATCGTTATTGGGTAAGGAGTGCTACATAATAATTTGAGTCTGCATTAGGAGAAGCTGAATGGATGCAAGGAAAGGAAGCAAACACTAAACTTGTTCAGTCAGTGAGGAACTGGCTTTAGCTACCAAATCATAAAGACACAGGAATTTTAATATTCAAAACAGTTAAGTATATTGTTCAGGAGACTTTAAACTCTTAAACCATAACTAAGATTTTGATTTTTACTCTTTTAATGATCAAGGGGCAAGGATGCTAAACATTAGAACAAAGAGATAGCAGGCTAAGATTCTGAGTTAGTTACATGAAATTTTATTGGATAATTTTTCTAACTTACCTGTGTAAAACTTTGTGTATAGTAGAAAGACAATTCAAACAGGGTCAGGAGGGCTAAATTCTAGACGTGACTCTGCCACGACTCTGTATGAATTCAACTTTCCAGGCCTCAGTTTCTCCATCTCTCAAATAGACTGGGGGGCCTTCTTGTTTATACTGTTTTCTCAGTACCAATCATATTCTTGCATAATATTAGATATAAATTTAACTACATAAACATATGTGTTCACTTACATAAATACTACATGCCATGCTTAATTACATTACTTTAAAGATTTTATAAAGGCCTACATGTTTAAATGAGCACCTTAGTCTACTTAGAAGCTGAAATTTCTTCTAAATAAATCATTCTAGAGGTAGAGAATGCATTTTCCAATTCGCTTACTTTCTCCTTAACAGTGAGTGGTAGAGTTTTTTGCTCTTTCTCACCAGGATGTTAAATTAATATAATAGTTATATAAAACCCCACAAAACTCTATAAATTATTACCCTAGACCTGGTAGAAATTGTTTCCCTGGGTCTCCATTTTTTCTATCTGTAAAATGGCAACATCTGATCAACCTGTGTAAGGCCTGAATACAAGCATGAAAATCACAGAGCCCATACCTGCACATAGTTTCACCTCTGTAGGAAGTAGTAGAGGATCCAGACATAGTATATGCTCAAAGCCAGATTGATTATTTGCAGTCTGAAATTTCTCACACACATTAAATTTACTCTCCTGTGCATTTAAACTTGTGAGAATTCCAACTAGAGTGAAGTAGCAAATCCTTTCAAAATGTCCTACACACAGAAGTATGGCATATACTACTTCTTAGTAGTACTTCTTTGATATTTACTTCTTAGTAAGTATCAAATATCTCCAAGATTCTGTTCATTTGAAAATTATGGTTCCAGTACATTGAGTTTCTCATTCATGTTTGAGGCTGACTCAGAATGACTCAGAATGAGAAACAGATGATAGCTTGGTAGGACTTCTGTAGTATCTTCAGAACAATGGACTTGTACCCTGGAAGTCCCTCTACTGTAATTAATTTGTCCAATCTTTCCATACATGCCACTGGGATTGTGGAAGAAAAGTAAATTGTACCTCTATTGAGTCAGATAACTAGAAAAACAAGTGGCTTTGTTACAGGGTACCCCAATGTGATTGGGTTGCCTGTCTGTGGGTCTTCACCGCGCGCTTACCATGCAATCGTATTATGGACACACTCAAAAAGGTTAAATCATGGATTTATTTATAAGGAGAAAGGTAAAGGAATAACCCAGGGAAAGAGGGAGAGAAACACAAGTTAACTAGAATGTCCTACCAGTTCTGCTGACTTGGACTGCACCCGCACGCTGAAAACTGATTGAGAGCCAAAATGATCAGCCGTGAACCACCAGGTAAACCTCCCCCCCCAGAGCCCACATGTCCGGTTTTATCTCAACCTGGCTGCTCAGCTCCGCCCTCACGTCCCAGCATGCTTCTCCTTGGTATTGATGGGATTTGGAATTCCAGTATCTGGAGTGGGGGCGGAGTCCATGAAACCTGTACCTGTTACAGCTTTTTGATTTTTTTTTTTAATATTTTAGTGCCAACTTTTTTTCTTTCTTTCTTTCTTTCTTTCTTTCTTTCTTTTTTAAGATTTATTTATTTGTGCATACAGAATGGGGTACAGGCCAGAGACTCAGGGGTGGTGAGAGGCTTCACCAGAGACAGAGTGGGGAGCAGAACAGGCAGATCGACTAAGTACACTGCTGAGGGGAGCAGCGGGCGGGTCAGGAGAGGTCTGCCACACCATGTGGTCACCTCCAGGGCAGGCGGGAATCGAACTCATGCGGAAGTGGCTTCAGTTTCCCAGTGCTGTGCTTTAACCTGCTGCACCACCAGGGAGGGCCCACAAACATTTCAATTTTCAATCTTCCAGTCTTACTATTGGAAATCCTTACTATTTGAAACCAATGTTCAAACATTCATTAACTTACAATAAATGAATCATTGAGGCTAAAAGATAAATGATTATGTTGCTCTGAGTCCAAACATCTAGCCATGAGAATATTCCCAGGCCTGAAATTGTGGGATGAATAATATTTTGTTTGAGCTAACAGCCAAATATTTACAAAACCAGTAAACTCAATTATTTACCCTCTTTTATTCTCAACCACCTCTGAGGTAAGTTGACTACTCTTGTCTTTATCACACTGGAAAGGTTTTTCCAGAGTAATTATGAACCATCTTCCCTGGTTCATAAAGTGAAAATAACCCTGGTCATTCAATAGGACATTCTGGATGCCACAAATTTCTAGTTATTAGAACGGTAACAATGATCAATCAGTAGAAATAGTACACAGGGGTGATCCAAACAGAAGCCTGTCACCTGGAGGACAGGTCTATTGCTGAAGGATGTACCTGGTCAACATTTCATTTTTATAGATTCAATTTCCATAGAATAAGTAACTAAAACCAAGTCACTGTACTTCCCTATCGCTCAAGTTCTGAGTGAAATAAGAAGATCCCATGACAACACCCAAAAGCAACAACTGGCACATTTTGGGACCATTACCCCATCTTTCTGACCTCACAAACTGCTGATTACCCTTCTGCCTTTTTCTTAGACCTTTTTCTAGCTTGGAGATATTTTGCCTCTCATGCTGTTTTTTTCTTTCTCATTGTGTCTGACTAACTCTGACTCTATTCTTTCAAAGCTCAGTTTTATTTGATGTGGATCTTCTCTTTATCCTTCCTCTTTCTGTCCCTAATGCTTACTTAGTTTGATTCTTTCCCCTTCAAACGTTTACATTTTCCAAAAACAAAAAAAGTTTCAAAAATTTTCATTCATTCAAGGTTACAAAGGTTTTCATTTTCATATTTCTTTCCTGGGGCAGTTGACTAATTTTCCTGTTTGACAAGCATTTAGTTATTGACCATATCCAGACTTACCAATTTCATTTTATTTTAATAGGAATTTGTTTTGTTTGGTTTTATTTTCTGTGTTTTATTTTTCTGGTAGGGCAGGGCAGCTCTGTTGGGGGTATTCAATTTTATGTCTCCAGCAATCCTTCTAATCACTTTATCTTTGCTGCACAATAAAGTCACTTTTCCCTTTCCTTTATGGGCCAAGTTTCTTATCACTGTGTACTCATCCAAAAATTTATTAGTTATTTTTTTTATTGGATTTGTATGTCAAGAATGTTGGCCTCAACTTTTAATCTTTGTCAAGCACTGGCACTATTGAATTGTTTTGATTTTTCTTGCCTATGCTAATTCTAACATTTATTCCAGCTTTTGGCAGCCCCAACTGGGTATCTTTCAGTTCATATGAAGTTATATTTATCTATTTCCTAATTATGTATCTAGCCCCAAGTTATCAAACTTTAATCAGTATCAAGCACTGCTACATCTTTTTTTAATTTGTTATACTTGTCTTTTTAAACCCCTCAAGAATTCCAGAAATTGATAATTTATCTTTTTTATGCATCAAAACAAATTTGCTAGACTTTACCTCTAGTACACCATGTTCTTTTATTTTTATAGTTTCCTCTTAATGTAACTCATCACAAAATTAAGTTTGATCACCTCTCAAAAGTCCCATAACAAATACCTGGCTTAAACAGCTCTCACTTCCAAAAACCAACTTTCCTCTTGGCATTCAAAGCCCATACATACTGTGTTAGGTCACAGACAAGCAAAAGAAGACAGGAAGCTTCTGCTCAAAGTAACAAACACAACAATCAGCGGTGATAATCCTGCCTGTGTGTTTGTTTGTAGATGCATGTTTCATTGAATATTCATACCACTTCTTTTCTTATGTGAATATCTTTGAGAATAAGAACTTGTTTTTCTCACACCGTGACTATTTCATAAATATGTTATTTTTAGGTCACACATTAAGATCAAATTTCACTCAGCATGAAACGAAAAGAATAAATGATCCTCTTAAAGTTCTATATATTATCACTGGCTGTCTCCCCATTCCCCTGACTCATCAGCATTGCTCTCACAATCCTTGCACTTTTAAACATCTTAACATCCTGCCAGACTTGGTATTTAACTGCTGCAGCTAGCTAGCCTCTGAGGGTGTCATATCATCATCATCACCATCATCATCATCATCATCATGATTACCATCATCATCATCATATCATTTTACCCTATAGAGCTGCCTCTATAGCAGTCCCTCCTTCCCCAGCATTTGGTATTGAAACTTACCGCTTTTACCAACTCCCCCTGCTCCCAGCATTACCACCTTGTACTCTCTGGACCCGCCTGATGCGCTGCTGGGGGAGCAGCTGGCTTCGCTTTCTACCTCCATCTTACCCGAGGGACCGGAGGAGGAAAAAAGAAGAAAAAAGTCGCCCGTATCAGGGGCTTGCTCAGATATTAAGCAACTCTAAAACTGTGTCAAAAGAAAGGTTTTTTTTTTGTACGAGGTAAGAACCATCAGCGTCGGGCTGGCTGCTGGTCCTCTGCTCCAGCGGGTCTCATAGCAACCACTTCAATTGCTTCCAATAAAAATCTGGCTTTTACATCCTCCCCCCCTTCCGTTCCTTCACTCTTTCATGTCTCCCGTGATTTCTCTCATTCTCTCTCTCTCTCTCTCTCTCTCTGACCCTTTCTGCCTCTGTTTTTAATTCTTTCCCTTCTGTTTCTTTTCCAGCTCCCTTCCGCACATTCTTTCACCTTTCTCCTCCCTGTCCCCTGCACAATCGCAGTTGTCAGAGGCACACAGATTTGGCTACCTTCCAGACTGCACTGCTAGAATGGAGTGAATCTGAGACTTAGTGGAAGACGCTGTTTTGTGCCTCACAGGCTGACTTCTGTGGCTACATCTACAAAGACACTATTTTCTTTTAATCAGAGTCAATTCATTAAGAAAGATGTCTGTTGCTTATCTCCTTGCTTTTTATAACCACCCTCTTACACAGTTCTTCTGGGGTAAAAAGGATGCTACCAATTTAGAAGAAAAAAGCAAACACTAATTCAGGTGTCTCCGGATGGGTCTTTAGTGGGGCTGAAATAATAGCTGGCTAGTGGGAATTGTCTGGGCTTACTTGACAGTTGAAATTCTAATAGAGGTATTGGAATTAAGTCATTTTCATGTTTGGACATGGATCACTCTTGTTTACACAACATCCTAAATACACGGAAACATCCTAAAAATAATTAGAAACATCCTAAAATACACGGATCCTGAGATGCATGAAACAAACACTTTATTAATTTCTTTTCTGACAATTATGGTAGCACTTAAAATCATGAATACCACTGTTTTTTCAAATATTTAAAAATCCTAATTCTTATTTGAATCTTTTGAAAGCTTTGAGGGCTTCTTCTTCTTCTTCTTCTTCTTCTTCTTCTTCTTTTTTTTTTTGAGAACTTCTAACCATGTAAGTTTTAGCATGCTTTCAATAATTTTTCATTGGCATAGTCAGACCTGTCCTTGAGACATAATGATGATGTTCTCTGTATTTCGTTGTTGTCTATTTTCTGTTTCTGAAACTATATTATATTAGACACCTCTAAGTATTTTTGTGTATACATTGTCTAGATTTTAAACTCCTTTAGGAAAGGAACTATATTTAATCAGATTCTTGTGACACTGAAGAGTAGTATCACAGTCTGAAGTCTGAAGAAATGGTAGCCTCCTTGACCAAGTATTGGGCACAAAGTAGGTACTCAATACATTAGTGCTGGTAATTGGAAAGATAGTAAGTAATTATAGCCAAGAGAAAAGGTGCTGAAGCCTAATTGGTCTTGTGTTCCAACCTGGGCACAAGTCAACACTACTAGCAATATGAGCCTGGGTAAATTATTTCCTGTCTTTATGCCTCAGCTGCTTCATCTGTAAAATGGCTCATAAAAAAAAAAAAAAACTATTTTATTAACTTACTAAGTGGGTGTAATGTTTGTGTAATATTTAAAAACTCCCTAGTAAAATATAAGTACAATATAAATATATGGCATAAGATTTCTTATTACTTTGAACTAATGGTGTTGTCCAGCCCTCTGTTCACTCTGTTCATAAACAATCAACTGAAGAGATCATCCCTTCAAGTGTTTCCTAGACATATGTATATCTTCTTTGCTAAAAAGTAGTGTTCAAATCATTTATCTATTTTTATATCAAGGTATTTTTTCCTTATTATTCAGTTGAAGACTTTTCATATATTCTGGCCGTAAGCCTCTTACCATATATATGTTCTGTAAATATTTCCCCAATGTAGCTTTTTCTTAACTCTCTCTTAAAGAGCAGAAGTTTTATATTTTGTTGGAGTCTAATTTGTAATTTTTTTTTTCTTTTCCATATGATTCATCAGATTTGAAACAAAACCTTGGTCCATGATTCTATCTCCAAATCTCTTTTCATCTCTTTTACCTCTTCACTGCAACTTCACGCATGGTGATAACACTATCACCTTTCTCTGGGTAACTGCTAAGTTTAAAATAACACTAAACCTCATTTTCCCTCTGAACTTCAAAATTAATCTGTCTTCTGGAATTACCCATCAGAGACTGTGTTTGTATCTTAACTTCCGATCATCCAGAAAGACATCAAACATATCAACAAGAACCAATGCCAACACTGTTCGTTTTGTAGGGAGCATTACCTCCCTCCATGGCCGAACTGTAGCTCAGTTGCTTTACCATTTGATCTCCATGACTGAAATAGCTTCATAACTTATCCTCCCTAAGTACCTCCTCCCTAGACTTTTCCCCTTTCACACTGCTAAGTTGATCCTATACATCTATCTCAGGGAAATCCACCTAAAATGTCAACCTGACAGACCCTGCTGTACATATATTCATATATCCAGTGTCTGAATAATGTGACTCAATAGCTGAGAATGGCACATAGACATGCACAACATTGATTCCAGTCTCCTGACCGAACACTGGATAGGACAGAGGCAAGCAAAGTGGCTGACTACTAGCCTTTCCTCCAGCAAAATAATCATTTCCAAGTTGAACCTAATAAAAAATGGTAGCTATTATTCATTATAATTATTTTGAAATTGATTCACTGAAATATTATTCCTCACAGAAAAGACGTATGCAAGCGAAAGGATTTAGCTTCAAGGTCTTTCTGGGGTTTTATTCTACTTCTGCTGCAGTTATTCTTATGACCTTGAGCAAATCATTTACCCTTAGCTCTCTGTACCACCATCTGTTACTCTGTTATCCACATCAGACATTCTGATTTCGTGGTAAAAAACAAGAGTTGTCACGCCAGCTGTGACCTTGGTGTTATTGTTTATCTGGCACACTTACTTTAATATTATTGCTTGAGAGAAAAAAAAAACACGGAAAAAATCTTTAATAGCAAATAAATTAATGACTTACCAAATATCAATAGGCACTGTCAGAGAAAAAAAAATGTAAATTGGCTTTCTTTTCTTTTCTTTTCTTTTCTTTTCTTTTCTTTTCTAACTTCCTCAATATGGAGATAACATGTTTTTCTGCAAATATGGAAGAAAATATGAAACAGAACAATCTATAAAGTCCTCTTTGTCTACCTTCTCTTTAAAAGTCTATGTCATTCCCCTCTATTTCCTTGGGTGAATGGAAATGATAATGATAGTATCTGAGTATTCTGGTACTACTTATTTTCAGTTTTATTTAGTGAACTTTTGTGAATTTGCATGCCTTCTGGCTTGACTAGTGGGCTGAGTCTGAGGGGTGTGTTTGTATGTTTGTATGTGTGCACGCATGCTAGAGAGAAAAAGATCTTCCAGGTGTATAAGTGATTGGCTGGAATCTTTAAGCAACCAAAAGCATTACATGACAGATTGCTTTGCTCTCGAGAAAATTATTAAATGATTGAAGTTTGAGGTTTGCATTTTCTTCCTCTATGCTACCCTAACAGTTGCCATCATTGCTAAATGTCACATGAGTCCCTTTGAGTGCTCATCTCCTCTGAGTGAAAGCCCAGGTGTTCATGTTCATTCAGAGACACTCATCTCCCTGAACAGGATCCAAGTACTCTCCACCTCATCACTCTCTGATGCTGCTCACCTCTCCAGCCCTTCCTAGAGAAAAAAAAGGGGAAACTCACGGAACCACACAATTACATTAACTCTATGCAGATCTTTCTAAACTGTTTTAGGAACTGCTAAGGCCTCCAATCATAGTGACAATTCTATTGGGAAGTAGTTGGTGCCTGAGAGTGCTTTGCTACTTCTCAGTCACTGAGAGGTAAATTCCTATCTACACAGTTCTTCCCTCCATTACAACATTAGTTATATTTATTTCAATGATGTGTTTAAATCCCAGCTCCACCTTGCTGAACATGGTGACCTTGCCATAGTCACATTTTCTCAACAGAATTCAATACAGTCCCTGACATGTGATATGTGACTAAGACATTTTTGTCTTAGACAGTTTTGTCACAGAGTTGGATAGGAACATGAGTCAAGGAGTTCCAAATAGGAAGGCTAAATGAGATATCTAGGAAGGAGCAGTACCTTGAACTAAATTGAAGATAGCATTTCAAAGGGGAGAAATTACCCTCTCAAAAAAATAAATAAATAAATAAATAGTTTTTAAAGGTTAGAGAACAGGGTAACCAACAAATTTTTTAATTCAAACTAATATTTGTAGTTGATCCATACGAACATAGGGACATAGTCTAAAAGTTTGATTATAGGTGAATCACAAAGAACTTTAAAGTATATCATATGGAATCTGGATTATTTTTTAGTTCTTAAATTATTTCTTTAAACAAAGCACAATACCTAATTTGAACCAGAAAAGTGACTCTAGAAGTTTGTGATTAGAGGAAAATCAAGTTCTAGCTCAGGTTACTTTTCCTTTTAACCTTTTGGTTTCCTCAAATTTAAAGACTTAGGACTAAGCCTAATTTCTACACTACTTACTTTTGCTGTAGCTACTAATTTCACATATTGTGTTGCAGGAATTACTAAACTGTGAGTCTTAAGAAAAATTCCCTACTCCATTTTTCTTTGTATTTGTCATAGTTCTGAACTCAGGTCTTGACATGTCATAAAGGATCAAAAATAAATAAATAAAACTTAAGACATTTTGACCAATTTATTTCATAGTAAAATCTGACTTGGTTACTTTTGATTGTAGTTTTTACTAGTAATCTCCAAAGCTGACTCGCCTCTTAAAAGAAAAATACTCAGTGAAAGCTACTGAAAAACATGTACAAGGAAAAGTGCCTTATGAAAATAAATTAAAGCCTATTTAAGACTTATGAAAACAAAAAATCTATTGTACAGTGGTTTCAATTACCTTTTATTTTTATATGTCTATGGTATAATTATAGTTAATTTACATAGTAATGACTTGAGGCCATGTGAAATGCTATAATAAAATGTGCAAGAAATATTTAATTTTATTCAGTATAATGTTGATGAAATCTACTTATAATAGATATTAGCAGTTAATTATCAATTAAAGTATCTGAATATCCAGAATATATTATAGTGTTCAGTCTGGACAAATAGGAGGTTATTATAACTACATTAATATACAAAATGGTGCTGTATCAGATTCAACAGATAACCAAACTTTTAAAATGTATACTTGGTAACTTTATATTTCACGAAAAATGTTATCAAATGGCAATGCTATGAACATTAAGG